AGCGAGAAACATGATTTCAAGGCACAATTATGCAATTCCCGGCAGGAAAAAACCAATGAAATTTGTGAATTGACAGTTATCGTGATCTGCAGTAGCCTATCAAATCCCAAATATATATTTATTATATAATATTATATAATATATACGTACATATATATATACGTATAAATACGTATAATGATAAAAACGTTTCATAGGCATGACCTTATTATAGTATTTTTTTCAAGTCCGGGGACGTGATTATTTTAGCCAAGGTTGATTGTAATTAAAGTATTCGAATTTAAAATACAACGAAAATAACTAAAAAAATTTTTTTTTGATGTAATACATAAAGATAGTGTGAAAATTTCAAAAAAATCACATGTTCTGATAATAACTGTATATCTAGAAAGGTTAATGGGGCCGGTAGATTAAAACAAAGCAAGTTAGTTCGAGTTGGTTTTCGATATTTTATTTGTCCGAAGTTTAAAAAAAATCTACTATTTTAAGATTTCAAAAAAACTTTCGTTGTTCAACAATGATGTGCATGTTTTTTTTTTTGCAGGAACCATTTACAGAGAGTGATTTCGTTCAGTTGAAAGACTTTGTGCAGTTGAAAGACTTTGTGCAGTTTGTGTGTCATTGAATTTAATACACATTTACTTATACAGGCATATAGGCCCTTGCATTTGAAACACTTTTTTTTCAGATCATCTACCATATTAAGATTATCATTTTAGCCATATCGATATGAATTTAGCACAACGATAATAAGATACTAATTTATCATCTTGCATCAAAAAAGCATAAACGAACAAATTTATTTGAAAGTTCTTTTTTTAATTATTAAAATATTATATTGTTTTAGTGAATTTATATACATTATGTACTAAGAAAGGTGATAATAAAGAGAGAAAAAGAAAAGCGGTTTATATGTACAGAAGAAAGAATGAAAGAAAGGAAAAAATGAATTAAAAGAATCCATATATATAATTTCAAATGTCCAACGTAGACAATTCCCTTTATCAATTATATTTGTCCTTTCCACCAATGTTTAAGAGATTATTATATAAAGTATTAAAAGCTTAGAAAGAAAGAAAAAAAAAAGAAAAAATCTTATCATAATTATTATTATTAACATCGAATCCATTCATTTTGCACTTTTTCTTGTGGCCAACCATCTTCGGCACCTATACATTTTCCACTAAAACTCTCTGCACGATTTTGCCTTCTTTTGCGTTGACCACGTGCTGCTGCGGTAGCAGACGTTGATGATAATGTACGACTAGGTCCATTAAATACTGCTGCTGCCATCAAAGAACCAGTTACTGTAGATGTTGGTTCAGATTGACGTCGAGCATCTCTATCTTTTATTGAATTCCATCCAGATGACATACACATTGCTTCAATTTCTTCTATTTCTCGTTGTAAAGCACGAATATCATCATGAAGAGTGGCGTGAGCTCTACGAAATTGGTCGTAATCGGTCTTCTGATCCCGACGTGCGAGCTCGATATCTGTTTGAATTTTATCACATGTTGATTCTCCCTCATCTTCTTGCTCGGCTTCCTGATTATTCGTTATTTCTTGATTATTAATTGTTGATGACGTATTAATAAATTCTTCAACGTTTCCATAAATCGTAGGAAAAGAGGCTCGTCTACGACGAGTTAGTGGTGTATATCCGGAAACTTCGTCGTCCCAATGAGGAAATGAAAATTTAGGTTCGGTGTATACTTCCTCATCTCCAATCTTTGAAGGATAATTGTACCTAGAGAAATTCGGATAATAATATGGAGAATAGGTACTTTGTTCTTGTCTTGGGAGTTGTTTATGTACCATTGAAAATTTCTAATAAATTTCTATTGTGTGGTCGGAATGATTTTTTTTTTTTTTTTTAGGGATTTGTAATTATAATTTTTTAATATTGGTTTAATATTTGGTTTAGTATTTTTTTTTTTGTTTTTTTTTATTATTTTTATTATTTTTTTTATTTTTTAATAATGTTTTTTTTTTAATATTGTTTAGTGGAGTAAAATTTCTTGCAACGAACTTGTTTGTGAAAACGATATTGTGTAGATTGTGTAGTTTATATTCCTCTTCCAGATGTTTGGCGAACTTCTCTTTTTTTATGTGGTCGCCGAAATTGATAAACGTTGATTGTGATGATGATGAAATAACGTGGATATTAACGAAACTGTAAATCTGTTGTGAGAAATCATGTAAAAAGGCGTTTGTTGTGTGTGCATGTAAAGAAAATTTAGAAAATTTAAACAAAAAAATGGGAAAATCGCGGCTTAATAAAGATCCCAGATGATTAAATAAAATATCGGAAATGACGGTATCAGTTGATTAAATTTGGCATTCACTCTCCTGTTTGTGTACCCGATTGACTTTTTTTTCTCTCTTAGTAAGAGGAGATCATGGTTACCTCGCG